TACGTAGAATGGTTTTTGAGAAAGCAGATTCTTAAAAAAGTAAGTATACTTTGATATAGTACTGAAATTTGAATTTTTCTAGATTTTGTCATAATACAAATTTATATGGTCCATATAAAATTGTAAGGTAAGTTTATTACGTCAACATTGTCATACAATTCTGTAAAAGGTCTTGACAAAAAAACCACATATTCCTTAGACCAAAATAAGTTTATTTAAATAAACTCCACTTAAATTAACTTATCTTGGTCCAAGCAGCGGTTCTCAAACTTTTAATGTCATGAAACACTCAATAAATATTTTTCTTAGAGTAGGGAAGAGAGGGGAATCATAGCGTTGAAAATGTGCGAAATTTTGAAATATTGAAACTGACTTTCTTAATTTCTTTTTAAGCAAAAGCACATAAAACAAACTTGTAACAACTTGAAGCGACGCCAATTGGGTTTACTTTGGTCACACTTCACTACGCCTTTGTGAAGTAGGCCTTACGCGTCCCCTATCTTCCCTTGTCTAAGATCGCTTTTCTTTGAAACCCCACGCCAAATTATAATAAATAAAAAATACTGCAAAAAAAAATAAAAAACGTGTGTAACAAAAAAATTGTTCCGCATTGAAATAATTTATGCAAGTAGAAAAAACGATAAAATGTTCCAAAAAGGATACTTAATGCAATTAACAAAGGTTTTGGAAAATTTTGAATATTTAAAATTTTGTAACATTGAAAATGTAAATTTGAAATAATTTTTAAATTTAGTAAAATATATTTTTATGTATGCTACTGTGCGAATTTATCCTACCATTTTTTAAATTAATGCCACTCCGCAATCTGTTTTACTATTTTGATAAATTTATCATACAGTGCGAATTGGTCCATTTTTTAAAATTTATCCTACCATTTTTTAATAAATCCACTGTGCCTTTCACTATTTTTTATTTTTGAACTTGTGGCGGATGTAAATGTAAAGGCCAAGGACGGTCCATCAGTTTTCATGTCAAACTGCCATCTGTGGGGTTTTAAAACAGTAACGCAGTCGCAAAAGTGTGTAAGCAATTTTTAATTCTGTAGCGCGTATCTTATAGCCAATATAAGGTTGTAGAGGGAAAAAAGGATAACAATTTTTAACTTGGTTTCAATGTTGCAGAAAAAAAGTGTTTTTTATACCCACTGGGCTTTTTTGGGTTTTATAAGTTTTTTTTTAATTCTATAAAGATTTTAGATTTAGATTTTTATAAGAAAAATTCAAGTTTTTTCAGTGAAATCTGCACCTATAAAAAAAAGGTAGTAAAAATTTCAATCACACTTAATTTCGCTGTCGTTCATCAACTATAAAATGCAAAGGTGGAATACAGATCAGCAGGTAAATCCCTGAACTTTAAAATTAGGTTATGTTGGATCGTTTCTTTGCATTTTAAATTAGAATGTTTAATACAGTAAAGCAGTTTTAGTTTGACCAGCGCTTTATACAAATGTTCTTTTAAATTTTACGTAACGAGTGTACTGGTTTTTTACGTATATAAAAATGTATTATGCTTTCTTTTTACAAAATTAAAAAATTAAAAATGTATCTATAGTTAAAAAAAATTAAAGAAGAAAAAAGAAATTTCAAAAAAACTCACTTTTAAAAAAACCCTGCGGGTTTTTTAAGTGGGTTTTACACGAGAACACCCGCTAGGTTTTTTTGGGTTACCCACTGGGAAGCCAACCCTGCTTTGTTTGGACTAGTTAGGAAGTAAACATAATAAAAGTCCCCACTTCCAAAACAATATACATACAAAATTAAATCTGACAAAATTTGCTAAAAAACTAATTTTATTTATTTCTTTGTTGTCTCGCATTGTTTCCGAGATATTTGCGATCAAAATTCGCTAATTTAAAAAAAATATTATAAAGGGTGTTTCATTAATAATGGCTCATTCGCTAACTGAATAATTCTTAACAAAAAAAAAAGATTTAACCTAAAAAAACTTAGGTCAAATAAAAATTAAACAAATTAAAGGGGGAAACTCCTTCACCCCTTTACCGTGAACTACTAACACTATCTACCAATTATGATAAAGAAATATAAGCAAAAAAACCTTTTCCTCCTAGAAATAGTTCAAATTAAGTCCCAGAGTCAAATATTGTTATCCATTTTCCTCTACACCACCCTTTTAAGCATTAATTTAGGGCCGATTCGTTAACATAACCACTAATGCTAGTGGCTTGATTGACTGGACTATTAGGCATTTGTTTGGCACGGCACTGAATTCGTTTAAAAAATACGTGCCTAACGTTTAAGCGGTTGGTGTCGACGGACTAATTAGAGTCGGTCAGTTGTTTAACCTTCCCGCTACGGTGGGTATTGGTGCACGTTTTCGCCGGTGGGGGGTATGTAAGATACCCCACAGTAAAATACGGTTTATCATGCTTTGGATTAATTTATTCATTGAATTAGGTCTCCAGGGATGTAGTGATGCTAGAAGTATACGTTAACTCAAATTTTATTAATAAAATTTTAATAAACAAAAACGAATTCAAAAAAAATAAACATAAAATAAATTCTGAAACACATTTATATATCAAATTAATCGTAATTATTGATCATGATCAAAACAATCCACACAGTAAATCGTCGAGGAAACAAATCGATGAGTTTTGCAAACGGGCAAAAACTCATACCATATCTCATACCCCAACCAAAAATTGACAATTATTTTAAACAATCTGGAATATTTTTTTAGTTCTTTTTGAAATTTGATACATTGTTATGTTTTGAGCAAATACATGGAGTTTCCAATCAGTAAAAAAAATATTTTAAAAGTTATTAACAAAAAACATGTCCGGGGTATAAAATATACCCCCCACCGTACTCCGAAGGTTAACTATGGTTCTTATCGGTACTGCTGTCGATGATTTTATACTTCGATCGTCGACAGCTGTTGCGGGGGCCACGAGACCAGTGGCTGCCCATAAAATGCCTAAGAATAACGTTAATTTTCATGATTTTTTTTAATTTAAAAACAGTAGCTTTAATGCAAAAGTGATAGAGGAAAACCTTGCTTACTTTGGCGTGAACTATAATTCCTCCAAGGGATGACAACTTTTTACATGACACCCTTTAGAATCCGAGACCGGTATGAAAACAAATAAAAATTGATCTTATGTTTTCAAAATCGCAACGCGCCGCCGGCACTGCTAAACAATGCTTTCTCTCCATGTCAGCATGAACAAAAATTAACCGCCAGAATTACCCGTAGTGTGTGGGAATTAACATATTGACATTTTGGCACGGCGTTCCGAATCGTGGCGATACAAGCGGATGAAAAAGAACTAAGTCTTTGGGGACCTTAAGGTAAAATTTCATTTGCCCAGTTTTGGTCGCCTGACGCTCAATTACCCCCCCCCCCCCGGCAGTAGCATGGATGTTGCAAAACACGCACACATCGAGGTGACTTATCTCTGCGACTTTATGCTCTCCTGATACTTACAGGTGTTTAAAAGCGTTTCATATATTTCGTCGCGATTATCGATTTTCTTAGTCGTGGCCAAAAGAACTTGCTCATTCGGTTCATTTCGACGCACCTAGGACTTTGGGAATTGCTGGTCCAGGGAAAATGTGGTAGGTTTTTTTACAGACCTTTTACAGACACCTTATATACAGGGTCTTTTTTAAACTGATTTTTTTCCCAGAAATCAGAAATTTTCATGTCTCACAACAAATTATCGCACTGTATATAAAGTGATATAGGTCATTGATATGTTAAAATCAATCCCAAAAACTGTACAGTGCGTCCCAAAAATGCAATACCATACCTACAGAATTCAAAAGATCCTGTTTAAAAAAAAATTGAAGTGAAACTTCTGAAGGAGATGATAGGAATCGAGTTTTAGAGTAATGATAGAGGTGTGTTATTATTATATCATTGATGAACATATTTTCTGTTTCAAATTTATAAAAAAAATTCCCAGATACTGGTTAGTTACTTATTATTTGCTAACTAGCTACCAACTAGTTACTGTTATTTTTGAAAACTGTAAATTCTAAACATTTTTAATATTGGAAATATAAGAATTTTGGAAATTTTTAGAATTTTAAAAATGTTCACTCATCTAATCGTTTTCTTCTACCCTTTTTTTGTCAAGGAGGTTATAAAGAAATAGATTCATCTTCACTTCAATAAATGACTACTGCGTCTTAAAACCGTTCGATATTTATCCCGAGGTAGTTGTGTTCCAGCAAAATAAATGGCATAACCTCTGCGATTTCGTGCTCTCCTGACGCTTAGGATCGGTTAAAAGCGTTTCATATTTTTTATTATTTTCTGTGACATATTTTTTCCTTAAATTTTTTGACTTGCACCTTGCTAAGGAAGTTTCACTTCAAAAATGTAAATTCTTTCTAAGAATCTGCTTTTTCATTATTTTATTTTCATTATTTATTATTAAAATTATTATATTATTATAAAACGTTATAAAATTCATTTAAAACTGTTGAAATTAATGCATTAAAACTAAGATAAAAACATATGGAAGAAGAAAAAATCTTGAAGAAACTAATAAGAAGAAAAACTAAAAAACATTTTTAATATAAGTTAAATTATAATTTAAAATATTTTGTAGGGTGCTACAAGATAAAAAAAATACAACAAATGTGTTATAGTGTCTTTTTGGAGCTATCAGGTAAAATCTAAAAAGAAAAAATGGTGATTTTAGTTTTTCAAGTTATAAAAAAAGTTATGCTTTTTTATATTACAAAATTATTTGATTTTTGGAGTAAAATTTAAACAACAAAAAATAAACTAAAATCTACCATTTTTTAAATATTTTTTTATTTTTTGTTTTAATATTACCTCCAAATTATCAATAATTTTCTTTCCTGTGTCCCTCCAAGTTTTGCCTTAAACCACTAAAATATTTTATTAGTATACATAATGTTAAATAAAAATAATTATGTTAATAATAAAAAAATGTTAAATTTTATGCCCCCCTTCAAGTTCCGTTGTTTTTTAACTATGTGCAGGCCCATACAACCAGTAATTTTGGACCAAAATTATATACAACTGAAAAACCAGGTCATCAAGGCTGAAAGGAGAGTTCTGAAGGAATTGGGATTTTGTGTACACATTAAACACCCCCACAAGGTAAGCAAAACAAATAAATATTTGCCCATTATCAACTCAAACTTAAAGTTTGTTAAATGAATAAGAAAGTGAACCAGTACATGTTAAAAATGGCGATTTATTTTTAAAACTTAAAAATCTCAATAACATCATTTAAAAAAATTGATATTTTCAATGAAATGTAAGTTTTAAAAAAATGAGAATTTGGGCGATTATTCGGTATTTCAAAAAAAGTAACATTATTTTCCAAGTGTATATCTCTTAAATGGCTTGATAAAAATGAAAAAAAATCATGGAGGCTTAAGTTGCGACTCTCAACCATTACGGAATTGTTTTCATAGTCGATCAAATCTGTCAAACTTACCTTGAGAACTTTACTATTTAAACTAATTTAAACAATTGAAAACCTTACTATTTAAACTAATTTCTCGCTAAAACAATTGAATGAATGAATTTGTGGTTGTGTTTTTTCATTTAAATTGAAGTGCAGCTACGAACGCCATCTATTAAAATAATCAAAAGTTGTACGAATTTTGATTTTCTGGCTGTTCCTTTCGTTTTTTTCCTAATGTTTTTTTTTCAAAACCACCCCTGTATTAAGGCGAACAAAAATGAATAAATTAATTTGTGGTTATGTTTTTTTATTTCATTTGAAGCGCAGCTACGATCGCCATCTATTCAAATTAATCCATTAAGTTGTACAAATTTCGATTTTTTCGATTGTCCGGCTGTTCCCTTCGGTTTTTCCTAATGTATTTTTTTTATTTAAATCACCCCTGTATTGAGGCGAACAAAACGAAAAAAAAAAAATTTAAATCGGTTGAGCCATTTCCGAGTTTTTGCAGGACTAACGCACTGCGATTCATTTTTATATATATAGATACATAAATAAATAGATAATATAAGTGTTATTTTTTTTTTAATTAACTTAAGTAGGATTAAGTTTTTTTCTTTTAAAATCAAGCTAGCCTAATTATATTTATTTTGTAGGCCAAAATATTGTTAATAAGACGATATCAACTTTGTTTCTTTTTGTGTCCAAAGTTAATAGTTTTTTTATATTCCGGTACATGATATCGGCGCTGTAAGTAAAGCGCGCTATAGTGGGTGGCAATAATTGTTTATTTAAAAATATCCCTTAAGCATTTCCTATTATTATAATTATGCGAATAATAACATTTAAAATTAAATTATCAATAAAATTTAAGTGTTATCAGTAAAAAAATAGTCTATTTCCGAATAACATTCTATTTTAAAAAATGTAGGTATACAATAATAATTATTGTGATAATATAGGTAACAATATTTATGTCTCAAAAATAGGATTATAATATAATATTTTTATGGACAAGGTATACCTATAGTTTATAATCCTTCTAAGAATAATGAAATATTGTTTTTAATTGATATAAATATAATAAGTATTCTTTTGTAAATTCAACTAACGTTAACAACAACACTTTTATAAGCATTATTTGTATTTAAATTTATTGAAATAAATGTGTATTATTTCATTTATCAATAGGATATTGCAGTTTCAAATATTATAATTATATGATATATTTATTATTAACAATAATATTAAATTATTTTAATTTTAAATTACTAGGATCCCATGTTATGAAATTATTATTGCTTACTTATGCAAGATTATTATATTATATTTACATTTTTAACCAGTATAAAATTGCCACTGCTGATCAAATTAAATTAAAATATATAGAATTGTATAGAAATTAGATTCTTATATTAAAATTGTATTAAAATTTCATAATAATATTTTGAATAGTTTTTAAAATAATTTAATTTTTAACTTGCTTTAACAAAACTTTAATAATTAAAAACCCTTATAAAATCGCCGCTACTGAACTAATTAAATTAAAATTTGTAAAGGATCAAGATTTATACCCCAAATAGGTATATGGTCAAAAGCATTTAAAGGATTCTAAAATATTTCCATTTCCAGTTATAAAATAAATTAATTTTACACATTTAACTATTTTATTGATTTTATAACCTAAAATGCAAATATCTTTTAAATTGCACTTAAACCCTTTATACCCCTTTTATTTATTTATTATGGTCCCTAGAGTCGGTTTTGTCACAAAAAAGGTTCTTTTTTTTCAGATTATCGTAATGTACCTGCAAGTTTTGGGTTTCCAAAACAACCAAAAACTGATGCAATATTCGTGGAATTACATGAACGATAGTTTAAGGACGGACGCGTTTGTGCGATATCAGCCGGAGACTGTGGCCTGCGCATGTATTTACCTCACTGCCCGTAAACTAAAACTGCCTCTGCCAAAAAACCCTTCGTGGTACACGATTTTCGGGGCTACCGAACACGAAATCCGTGACATTGCCGTTAGAATATTAAAATTGTACAATAGACCAAAAGTAAGTGATCTTTTTAGGGGCACTTCTACAAAAACCGGTTTTTAAAAGTAACTTTTAATTTTACACTATTTCAGGATATTACCGAATATTAGTAAAGAAACAGTTTGCTTTAATTTAAAAATAATTGACAGCAATTTATGCCTATTTTTTTAAATTCAACCTGCCATCAGCCCAACAATCAAAAAACGTTGATGTATGAGACTAATTTTAAATTTTAATATAAAGGTTATATCGTTAGACCCTAGTCGTATTTTTTTATAATTAAATGATACGATAAGAAAATATTTTATTTTACACAAAAACAGGTGTTTCAAATTATTGCAAAGTTAACCGATTTTTGTAGAAGCTTCCGTATTTAAATTTAAACAATTACCGCGCAGTAAGTCTTAATTTTAGACATTCTATTGCGCAGCAGCTGTTTAAATTCATACAAAACCCAATTTATTCTTCAAATTCCTTATCTATTTTTGTTTTTTTCACTAAAGCCGAATGCAGATGCGCTAGAGAAAAAAGTAGACGAACTATGCAAGAAATATTTGGATTTAAGGGCAAAAACGAGGGGTACTTCGGGGGGGAATACCCCAAACAACGATTCCAGTAGTCCCAACCAACAAAAAACAACTGGGGCGCATAATGCTTGGGGCGGTTTTATAAGGTACTGTCCTGTTTTTATTTAAAATTGGGGGGTAACAGTTAATAACTCCGCAATAATTATTTAAAAATCTGTTTTGCTGGCTTATTGTACTAATAACCATTTTTAGCCGGTCAGGAAGCCATACAGCGCCTTTATTGAACGAAAAAAGGTCGAGGAGCAAATCGGGGAGTCATTCTCCTTCAGGAGGAGGTGGAGGAGGAGGAGGGGGAAAACACCACAAGAGGGGGAAGAAACACAGGAGTAGAAGTAGAAGTCCCAACAGAAACCACAAAAAAAGTCATAAAAGAAAGACTTATTCAAGATCTCGCAGCAATTCTCCTCACGGAAAATCAAGAAAGAGGTAAGTTGCAAGAAATGACAAAAGAAGGCATTTTATAAACTCACTTTCAGGGACAAAAGAAGATCAAGGAGCGGAAGTAACGAACGCGAAACAAAAAACGATCGTTACATTGACAGGTACGAAAAAAATGACAAGTATGACAGATACGAAAAAAATGATAAGTACGAAAGAGATCGTTACGATAAATACGAAGATTCAAAAAAAGATAGACACGAAAAAAAATACGAGAGAGATGATAAATATAGGGATGAGAAATACTCCTCTAGGGATGATAAATACAAAAAATCATCAAAACATAGGGATGACGATAGGGATCGATCAAAAGATCGTAGGAGATGAAAAGATTTAAAAATGCTATCAAATGGATTTAAAATGGGTATATGTATTTTTAAACAAAATAATTTTATCCAAGAGTAAATTTAGCTCAATTTTAGTTTTTTTATTATTGCGTTAAATTGTAACAGGATGTACAAATATATTTTTCATTAATTAACGTAGATGTGTTTTATTGTATACTTTTACTAAAATAAATATTACCTTTTTATGATTCAATCGGACCAGGACAATGTACTAAATCAATAGTTTTCCTAAACAAAATGTCAATTTTAATGGATGTTTTGTTTAATTTTTTAGCTTTTTTTTATATATTTTTAATATTATGTACCTATTTTTAATGGCTAAATATGAAAATGTACTAAATTTAGTCAAGTAACATAAATGCTAATTGTACTAAAATTATTTGAATATTTTGTTCATGCTGCAGCCTACACTGTGTGGGGTTCACAATTTTGTTTTAAAAAATATTAAATTGAAATTTTTAGAAACTTCAAATTATACAGTGTCACCGAATAGGTGAAACGACTCGAAAAATTAAAAAAAAAAATGAATTCAATTTTCATTTTCACGTGTTCAGCGCTGCTTGACAAAAGATTAATTTTAAATATAATTTCAATTTTAAAAAATTAAGTAAGTATGCCTTGAAAATTAAAAAAAGAATATTTTTTTGTGAAGGTAATTTTTTTCAAATGGGATATACCTACAACAACCCAGGTAGCACAACGTGACGATTTGTGTCCAATTGGATACAATGGACACAAATCGTCACGGTTTCGTCACGTTGTGCTACCTGGGAAAATATCATAAAAAAAAAGTTGTTCAGAATTAACATTTGGCCCCCAATACCAGAATCATTTTAGGTCCATTTTAGATCCATATACCAAATTTCAATGGCAACTTTGATTTTTATTTTTTTTTACCACCTAGATTTTTACAAAATCAAAGTGGCCAAGAAATTTTAAATTTGGTATATGGACATAAAATATGATTTGGTATAGGGGGTCAAATGTTATTTCTTAACAACTTTTTTTTGTAATATTTTGTCATATATCCCATATGAAAGGCACTTTACCTACACAAAAAATAGTTCTTTTAATATTTCCAAGGCATACTTGATTTTTCAAAATTGAAATTATGTTGAAAATTAATCTTTCATCAAGAAGGGCTGAACCGCCGAAAATTAAATTCAATTTTTTTTGGTTTAACAAGTCGTTTAACCTATCCGGGGACACACTGTATATATACAGGGTGTCCCATATATGGGATTTTAATTAGCGTGCAATACTTTAACAGCAGATTCTACCTACAAGCATGTAAAAAAAGTTCCTGTAAACATCGAGTCGAGAAATTCTTCCTAAGGGAGCTACAGCCCCTGATGATGGTTTTTATTTAATATCTCCAAAACTGTTTAAGATAAGAAAATGAAATTTAGAGAATTGATCAAACTCCCTGTTACATTGCATAAAACCCTTACGGAAAAACACTGTTAACACTGCACAACATTATGCAACACTACTTTTGAATAATGTTTTCGTTAAAAGTGTTACATAGTGTGACCAGTGTTGTTTAGTGTGGCCAGTGTTGTTTAGTGTGACCAGTGTTGTTTAGTGTGACTATTGTTGTATAGTGTGATTAGTGTTGCAGTGTTAATAGACCTAGCCCATAAATCGGATTTTTTGGATAGCGCGTGCGTGAAAAAACGCGGCAGTCTTTTTTATTAGAATTCTAATGAAGAAAGAGACTGTCGCCCTTTTTAACGCACCCCCTATCCAAAAAATCCAATTCATGGGATAGGTCTAAAGCTATTTATCACTGCGGAATGAAATATTTCAGTCGACAGTGTTTTATTATAATTTGAAAATTATAATTTAATTTAAGTTTACATTGAAAATTAATTACGAAAAGTTCGCACAATTATGTTTTATCTGGTAAATTTAAGTTCCAATTGTAAATTAAAATTTACAATAAATTTTTATCTAATTATTAAATTAATTTTTTTTAATATTAATTAAAAAAAAAGTTTAAACAGTAGAATTCTGCATTTTTTGGTGCTTTTTTAGCATTTTTTTAATTGATAAGGTTCAAAAATATTTTTTAATTTAGTTATTTAATTAAAATTAATTGGAAATTCTAATTTTCAGTTGAAACTTAAATTTATCAGATAAACACTTATATTTATATGAACACTACACAAAACTGCTTATTACAGCAACATTAATCACTTTAACACTATGGGCAAGTCGTTAACACTGTTGGAACACCATGAACACTATGCAACACTCTTTATCACTGTGCAACATTACAACAACACTAGTGCAACACTATGGTACAAGTCGTTAACACTGTTGGCACATTATTAAAATCGTCAGTAGTGTTGTACAGTGTTTAATAGTGTTTAATACTGTTGAACAGTGTTTTTCCGTAAGGGAATGCCTTGAATAATTTTTCCTAAACGTGGCAGCCGTTTTTCATGGCCCAAGCTGAATCCTTTTCTGTAGTTGTTATTTTATTATGAATTTTTTAAGGTAATTTTTAAATCAATTTTAAGCGAAAATGGTAAATATTATCGAAGTTCAACAGAAGGACATTTTTTGTGTGTACCTAAACCTCCAAAATAAAAATCTTTGATGTCAGATTATTTTATTTTGAAGACACGTACAAAAAAGTTGGGGTGGTTTTACCCTTACTCCCTATCAATCTGACCCACCCCTGAAATTTAACATTGTTATTATTTCATCTTATTGGCCATAAAAAATCAATTCCCAAAATGTCACGTTTCTATCTTGAACGGTTTTGGAGATATTAAATAAAAACCTTCTTCAGGGGCTGTAGCTCCCTTAGAAAGCATTTCTCGTCCTATGTTTAAAAAAAATTTCTTATTTTTGTACGTAAAATCTGCTGTTCAAGTAGGTATTGCACTTTAATTATAGGACACCCTGTATAAATCTAGTAATAAAACTATTACCAACCTAATTCTATCGACTGAAAATTGGAAATCATTATAAAAAAACTAGTATTTTAATATATTTCTAACCATTTGATAATTGTATATTATAATTTCGCTATTTTAAAACAATATACCCAACTGGTTTTTAAGATTTTTTTGTTGATATTTTAGTATGATTTCTTTTGTCAGGTTGGTAGCATAACATTCGACATTTTCTACGTGTTGTTTAGCCGCATGTACTGCAATATTTTGCGATTTTTATCGTTTTTTTTAGTTTAATTATGGGGTGAGTACACTTTACGCAACTTTAATAAACATTACTTTACATTAAATCAAGTTGCCATGGCAACACAGCCATCTTACAAATCACGATTCCCTTGTTTTTGTATAGTTGAGGTTACGTTCGTAGTACACAGTATTATTTATTTTTAGAGTTGATAGAAACGCTAAAACGAAATTGTATATCCGTTTACCCGTCAAAATAAGCGAGGAGTTGCAGATTAAGGAATTAAACGGGAATATCAAGGAGGTTTTTTTGCCCAGACAAAAATCATCTCGTTGGTGCACTGTATCATTGGAAAACCAAGAAAAACAGAAAAAAACTATTGAAGACTTGAAGAAAGTTAAAGTTGAGGGTAAAAATATTGTCGTTAAAGTGTTTAAGAAGAAGGAGAAAGTTTTAAAGAGAGAGGATTCAATTTTAAATACCGAAGGCTTAAAAAGTCTTTTAAAAGATTAAATTAAAAAGTTGTTTATATATTGTTAATTTAAAAACAGTAAAAATGGGTGGTTCTTTCATTGGTAACCCATACAGTGAAGAGAACGAGGAATTTGAAGAACTGGACATAACCATACAAGAGGAATTTTTCCAGGTAGATGAAGAAGAACTAGAGGCTGCATATAATCAACGCTGGGTGGACGATTTAAATAACAGTCCCCCAGAAAGCGAAATTGATGACAGTGATTATGATGTTGATGATGAGGATCAATTTTTATCCACATCTGAAGAAGAAATTGATTATCAAGAAGCCTCTGCACTCTTAAGTGAAGATAATGCTGACTACGATGAAATCAACTCTCGTAAGTGTAATATACAGGGTTTGCCGCATTTTCTGTATCATTTTTTTTATTTTTCAGCATTAGATATTAAAGCATCGGAGTCAGCGTCCGACTGATTGTATATTTTATACTTGATGTTGTGCGTCACCTATTTTTATATCGGTTGTATATTTTTTTTCGCTTATTTTGACTTTAAATTCTAATTTTTCATCATTATTTATATCAAAATTGAACATTAAAGCTCTGCTCATGCGTAACTTTCAGACACCTTAAACGTCATTTTTTATGCTCATGCGTCCCTCACTCACTGTAAGGTTATGTTGACAACATCAAGTTTTGGCATCATATCCGATTATACAGGGCTTATTTTTAACTAATATTGATGTAAATAAGTACTCTGCCCAACTATGGAGAAAGGCAGTAACTGCTAAACAAGAAATTTGTGGGAAATATAAACTACATTTTTATAAAAAGCAGCAGCTGATTTATTGACTTATAAGATAGTTTACTGCATTTCTTTGTTGAATTAAGATACAAAATGTCCATAGCTTTATCATAGCACAAGAAAACGCATTTAGAATTTTTTTGTAGTTACTGCCTTTCTCCATAGCAGGGCAGTACTGTACTGCCCTACCATGGAGAAAGGCAGTAACTGCAAAAAAATATAAAATGCGTTTTATTGTGCTATGGTAAAGCTATGGACATTTTGTAACCGAATTCAACACAGAAATGCAGTCAAATATCTCATAAGTTAAAAAAATCAATTAATTATCTACTGCTTTTTATAAAAATGTAGTTTATGCTAATTTTCCACAAATTTCTTGTTTAGCAGTTACTGCCTTTCTCCATAGTAGGGCAGTGTAATTGTAAATAATTCTTAAATAACTCTCTCTAAAAAAATACAATATTTCAACTAATTTTGTACATTTTTGCCTTGCAAATTCCTGTGTAAAAATTATATTAGTGGGCCATGAATCTTTGATGTTTATCAATACTCTGTCAACTGTCAAACTATTTACATTTAGGAAGTTTTCTTTACTTAAAATGTAGTAAATATGTATTTTTCTATATGCTTCTACATGTATAGTATTAAATGATTTAAATACTCTCAAAGAATGTCAAACTGGCATTTTTTCGTAAATTTACGAAAAATATAAAATTTGACCTTGGAGTGTTTCTAAGAAATATTGTATTTGGGTAATTATTGTATAATTAATAGCTATGTATTATAAATGTTGTAAAAGATATAAGATTGTTTTAAAACCTAAATAAATATGAATGTGTTTATGTTTTTTATTTATTTTGTACATATAAAAAACCTGAGAATGTTTTTATAACTAATTAAAAAACAGAAATTTTTGTAGTCATATTTTAATACACCCTGTATAGTAAGACCTCGGTTGAATTCAAACTTCCCGCTGAAAATTTGTCATTCCGTGCGCTAGATGTCGCCACCGATTTATGTCAGATTACGCCATATTGGTTGTCACAAGGCCTTGGTATTTTATTATTTATAAAAAAAGTGTCTAATTTTGATGAATTCCGCCTAAAATCGTGTATTGTGTGCAAAAAATGGTTTAAATACAGTGCGTGTTGGGTTGAGAGACGAACTTTACTTGAATTATACGGGTAAGTTGTGAATTTTTTATGTTTATTGTTTAGGTTTTGACGTTTGTGACTTGACTTGTATAAAGGACATATTTTTGTTAATATATTTGTTGTATTATTGATTTGTAGGGTGAATTGTGCGTAAATGGTGTTAATAAATAATATTCTTTAGTTATTTACGTGTTTTCTAGCAATGAAGTGCTTAAAAATCGTTAAAATTGTGTATTGAAGTAAGGCTTTATTAGGCCCTTAAAATCCCTTTAAATTGTTGTTAATTTTATCTTAAAACATGTGTTAGATTGTTATTTTGTCAATTTGTAATGATAAGCGAAATTTTTCTTGAACGTTTGCCAGATAAATGCATATGCAACGTCCTTGGACGAATTTTACCAGTTTGGACTTAAAAGAATTCTAATTTTTCCTTTTAAAGAAGATTAGAACATTCTTCAACGATTAGGGTAACTTTCCATTAAAAATACCGTGTTTTACAATAAAAAAACAACATAATTATGCAGGATTTAACTGAGTTTGTAAGAAAGTAAAAGTGTCAAATTTTTCCTATTGCTATTTTTTTTTATTTTAACTTAATTTAAGTTATTCAGCAATTTGTTTAAAAAATGGTTTGCAGAACAGATTGTTTTATTTGTTTTAAAAATATTTCATCAAATCCTACTAAATTAACAGGTGCATGAGAAATCATAGAGTGAGGTAATCTGATAAAAATCTGAACTAAGGGGCCGTTCATTAATTACGTGAGACAATTTTGGCGATTTTTCGACCCCCCCCCTCCCCTTAGTGAGATGTCGTGAGATTTTGCTCGACCCCCTCCCCCCCCCCCTTAATCTCACGTGAGATTTTTTAAAATGCATGGTCTTAATGTAAATAAGTTAATCTGTGCTTGATTCCATTAGATTTATTAAAAAAAAACAATTTGCTTATAATTGTTTACTTAATTTAACACAGTTTTCTCGCAATTTTACACTCTTTCTTTCGGAAAAAAAATTACGTGATATTTGCCGAGGACCCCCCTCCCCCCACGTGAGATTTAGTGAGGTTTGGCTCGACCCCCTCCCCCCCCCTAAACACCTCACGTAATTAATGAACGGCCCCTAAGGGTGCTGTGCTGTGTAACTGTTTTAAAAATGTCATCTTGGACCTAGATAGATAGATATAAAGATAAAGATATAAAGATTTAAATAAATAAAAATTTTGTCATATTAAACACAGGTTCATCACATATTATTAATGACTAATTATTAATTAATACTTAATCCAATTAGATTTTTCATTATTAATTATTATTAGAAAATTACTGTGAGATAAACTAAAATTTCATTTTAGAAAGTCGTTACTTCCGTAAATTTTTGTCTTTAAACAAGTTGTTAAATTTCCTTTTTCACTGAAAACATTTTCATTCATAAAATAATTAAATGTTTACCGATTATTTTTAATTTGATTGTCATTAATAAATACTTTCTTTATCCGTTTTTTGTGTCTACAATTTTTTTCTGTTTATTTGGGTAAAATCATTTTTTATTTATTTGAACAATTATTTTTTACTTACTTAATTATTTTACGTATTGGTGTTATTTTAAACTTTATAATTTAAAATAGTAAAAACCTACATAGCTGCAAATTTTCAGAATATTTGCCTTGGCAATAAATTATCAAAATGTGTGATTAAGAATGTCAAGACATTTGGACTTGGACAATTAGGTGTTTACTTACCTACTTAATTTTTTTTGTATTGATGTAATTTTAAACATTTTAATCGAGATTTTAAATTAAATTAAAATTTTTAATATAAAATTGTAAATGCTTTAGCTCCAAATTGTCAGAATATTTGCCTTGCCAATAAATTATCACAATGTGATTAAGAATGTCAAGACATTAAAGAATGTCAACAACCATGGGTACCATGCTCCACACATCATAGTCCCACCACGTGACTGATAGAAATAATTACAGTTAATTTTGTGTCGAGCTAATTTCGTATTATTTTCTAAAAATCATACAATATACATATATTATATGTATGTCTTAATCTTAATTTTTTGTGATCTAAATTAAGACCTTACACCCAAAATACATATATTGCATAATTTTTAGAAAATTATACGAAATGTGCTTAACACTGACAGAAAATTATCCTTAATTATTTCTATCAAAGTCACGTGTGGATCATAGTACTTTAAAGGGTCAAAATAAGTATGTCAATACTTAAAAAATATTAAAAGAAGTACACTTGGTTAATAAATACCGATAGAAACCACTTCTATAGAAAGTAAATTTTAAGATACGCCTCCCTGATATTTTTTCAGCTTAGTTTTGAAAACAAACGTATTCTATAAAAACACTCTGTATACTGAATTATTTACTTAAGCAATTTTAGACTATTTTTAGTTCATATTAGATAAGGTAAAATGGTTTACATAACTCAAAAAATCAATACAAATCAAAAATATCATTCACTTCCAAAGTCAAGGACTTCAAAACATATTTGTAAACACAAAAATTATATAAATAAATATTTTTAACTGATTTGTTCCACTTTTCAATGCAAGTTATTTTTAATTATGAAAAAACAGAAGAGAAACACAATTGCTTCTGCCAGTTATTGCAAAAATGCAATTTTATTTTTATATTGTTATTTTTATTTAACAATATATACTGATTAAAATTTCAATTTATGGGAATTTCCGTGACATATTTTTTTAAATTTTTGCAATATTTTAAGTTGGCTTATATTCTTTGGTACCATTTTTAATATATGACAAGATATGGCAAATCGTTGAAACACAGATTAAATATTTTAGGGCGATTTTTTCTCCAAAAATTTGTTTTTATACATTTTTAATATAATAATTTTTTTTTAGCAAACTTGACAAATAAAATTTTTGGTAACTTTTTAAACAAAAAGTATTGTTGAACAGATAAATAGATTTTGAAGAAACTTGGGCATATCTAAGGAAAATGGAAAATTGTTTTAAAATTTACAAAAAAATAATTTTATCAAATTTTTTACCTCAGGATTAATAATTAAAATAATGCTGCGACCCCTTTTTAATTAATCAAGGGATGTTAGACAAAAAAATTTTTTTTTTAATTGAACCTTCACCTCGCTTTTTTGTTTTGAGTGCGTTCCACAAACTTCAAACTGACAGACAGCTGTGGATCACGTGATGTTCTTACATCTCGCCTCTGTTGGCTTACAGCTTAGTATATAAGCTCATGTAGTCCTTTGTTTTGGGTGTGTTCCACTACACCAAGTTGCCCGACACTGATGAGACCCAATATAGGTCGAAACAGCTGTCTGTCGGTATTTAAAGTTGGTGGAAGGCACTCAAAACAAAAACCTTTGGCGGGGTTCAGTTCTTTCTTATGAATATTACCAGTAATGGGTCAAGAAAGTTTCTTGAAGAAACTAAAAAAATTAAATGTTTAAAAAAATGGTATTTTACATTTTTGCTTTAAAAATAGGTTTTAAATGATTGTATATGTTAAACCAGTGAATCGCAACTGTATCATGCTATTTTTTTCTAAAATAACAAAAAAAACCTTCTTTGGTTTTATCCTTTTGGTTTTTATAGTTTAGTAAATTAAAATATTAAAATATCTATTAAGATCATTATTATAGTATATTAGGTATCAAGTTTAGTTAACGCCATTTTATAAAAGTTTATAAATGACTTGCTTACTATACTTTTTCTATGACAAATACTTATTATTATCTAAAAATGAATTAAATTAAATATTTGTATAGAGCGCCATCTATAAAACAATATCTGTGTCAAATATCAAATTTTTATGTGTTATAAATCGAAATGTATCCCTTGAAAATGGATAAACAAAACGGTTACCTGCAAGATTAAATTTTCTCCGCTGATTTCAAGCTAAACGCGATAGATGAAACCACTCTTCTTATGTAATTTCATTATTGTACGGCGGTGTATAATTGACTTTTGAACTACGTACAAATATGAAGTCTTTCTATATAGGTGTTATAATATGACGCTTGAAAAGAAAATTAAATTTTTGTAAATTTTAAAACAATTTTAATACTTTAGATATATCGGTTCGAAATAACTAGATTTTGTTTAAAACGTTACCAAAAACATCATTTGACAATAGGGTAAGGCTTTCTGAAGTGTACCCTGAATCGGAATCGGAATTTATTAACAGTTTCCAAGCCCCTATAAAGGAGGTAACTACATAAATTATATAAAAAAATATTCACTTGTTTATTTTTTATAAACAATCAAACTTTTCAGCAGTACCTTCTTAAAAACAAATACTCTGCAGTGTTCTTCAAAGTCAATGCTTTTTTTTGTAAATCAATACATTTTTCTACAATACAATTCAATTTTTCGTTTAAAAAATATTACATTAAAAGTAAAAAAAGTAAACAACTTCTAGACCTTGAAAATTATTTTTAAAAGTTAGAGGTAGTGTATTTTTTTTAAGAAATCACTGCAAAAAAGTTCGAATGTTTATAAAAATTAAACAAGTGATTATTTAAAAAATATATATTTAAAGTTCTCTCATCTATATTGATTTCGAAATAGTATATTAAAGAACTAATGTCATATGACGTCAATTTATACGGGTTATTTGGACGAGTGTGACAAAAGGTCTTATGACATGAGTTCTTTATGCTATTTTGCAAAAATTCTATAAAAAAATTAATTTTATACCCAATATGCAAAATATTATGCAGTTTAAAGTATAGCCAACCTATAAAATCAAAATTTTGGGTGTGATAAAGTATCTCATTACAGCAATGAAAGCGGTGTTATAATGAAGTCATTATGAAAGCAAAATAGATAAAAAAGGTTATACAATTTCTACCCTTGATAAACTCAGGGTTCACTTTAGGAAGCCTTACCCAATACTTGGCTAAAAAATAAAATAAAAAATTTTGTTTGATTAATTTTTATGGTCAAATAGAACATTTCGATACGAATTCCGACCCATTGACAAGGCAAATTGACAATTGACAATTTGTAGATTAAGCATTTACAATTTTAAAATAAAATGACTAAACGTAAGACAATCAATCAATCAAGTAAGCTAAATCAATTTTGCCCAAATAAACAGTATATTTAAATTGAATAATTTAAGTAATATAGGAAAACATTTTCTGAAATTTAATTTTTTCCAATTTAAGTTGTTAAAAATGGATACTACAGATCAGCCGAACTCTATCTGTCACATTCAGCCAATCCAGATGTACCCGCTGGCCACGGCCGACTCGGATAAGCCGCTACCTTTCGCGCTATTGGCCGGCGAAGTCCAGCATCATCACGGGACTTCAGTTGATGGACTAGTAGTTGTCACCAACTACAGATTGTTCTTGCAAATCGGCACAAGTCAATATCACGTGCCCCTCGGGCAGATAGAAGTGGTGGAGAATAGAGAGCTGTTTTATCTGCAGATCGGGTGTAAAGATGCCAGAACCTATAGGTAACTATAACTAAAATTAAAGGGTGGGGGTTTGCACGTTTTTTCATTTGTTTATTCATTTCTTGGCACAGCCACTAATTTCTCACGCCAAAAACATTTTTCTAATATAATCATCTCTTTTTTCAGATGTACTTTCGAGAATAACGAAAGCTGTCTAGAATGGTACGATAGAATTCTTAAAGCAGCAGAGCCGCCTCGTCAGTTGGAGCAACTTTTCGCTTTTTACCACTTGATGTGGACGAAGGAAACCGCCGGACCGGAAGTGATGTCACGTATCGAACGACAACGTCAATATTCGTTTGACAAAAATATGTTTGACAATGAGGTAAGAGATATTAATATTAATAGTTCTAATTTATCAAACGGATCACACAAAAACCATTGCACTCCATTTATTGTCAAAGTTATATATTCTTTCGAGACTGTTTTGTACTAACAATTAAATTTTTTTATTCTTTATTCATAAAATTCAAAACTTTTACTGAACCAAATTAAATTATCTAAATCGTTTTTAATTTGTTATAGTGTAGTTTTTTTTTAGGTATTATAAACTGCAAAACTCAAAACTTTTTATAAATGTTAACGATTTTTTTTATAAAATGGCATCTTAGTGAAATTTTTAAATAAAGAATTTCCCGAATGCCGAAATTCGTTTTTTCGACAATGAAGGTTGACTGAGTCAATGCAGTTTTTTATTGCATAATATGAAGTTGTCATTATTTTTTTCTACGTTTTTACAGCGTTTTTAAAAACGCAAGATTCAAAACGCATATATGACCTTGAAGAGAGCGCGTGAGGTCGCGATGTCATAACAGATGTGTCAAGAATTACGAATGAATCCAACGTCGGTTTCTAAAGTATATCTATTAAAGCAAAGAAGCCCATACAATTTTAACAATTAACAACAATTCAAAAATGACAAAGTTTTTAATTGATAAAATTATTTTGATGTATTTTTTGCTTCAATGGATATATTAGTCAAGTCAAAGTCTTTAAATCGTTTTAAAGTCGAGGTAAAGTAGGTACAATGCTCCACACATCACCACGTGGTAACTTTAATAGAAAAATTAAGGTTAATTTTCTATCAGTGCCAAGCTAATTTCGTCCTATTTTCTGAAAATAATGAAATATATAGTAAATTTAAAAGTAAACTACGTACACGTCATCAATCAGCTGATCGGGCACGGTTGTCAATGTGATGCTAAAATCCTTGCATCAAGGGAAACTGGTAGTGCAACTACAGGGCGATAGATGGCGTTTACATGAATAATACCAAAATGTCAAAAGTTTTTATAACCTATATGATGCACCGCCAAAAGTATGTTTTTAGCCATTTTTAAAGACATTTTCTGATATAAAACCCAACAATTTTGCCATCTAAAGTCAGTCTCTGGTATATATATTATTATTTTATGTATCCAACATATATTTTGTTAAATATTCTAATATATAATTAATAATAATCCTATTTACCTCTCTAACAGCTGTTAAAGGTAACCTTTAAAGGTCCATTATTATCCAGTTCTGCCTCAAAATAGCGTATTAAGGATGACACCAACTCTTGACTCCGACTATTTAAATGCTTCGGCATTTTAAATATAGGAAACACAAAAAAACGATATAGGTATAACAAACACAAAAACGGCAATGAAAACTTAAACGATATAAAATAACACAAACAACAAACAAAATAAACGAAATAATACACGAATTAAACGAAATATTCAAAAACACAACTGACAGCTTCGAAATTCTAAAACGTCAAATTCTTTTTTATGTGTCATTTAAATATGAAATATTTGAATGTAAATATGACACAGACCACCAAAACAAATGGACGGATTTGTTTACGTTTAAAAAGCGAGTAAAGCATAGTTTCACATTCTAAACACCGTCGAAAGAAACATGGCTTCCAACGTTGTCAGAAGTATAGATTACACGCCTTTTTGGACGTTCATCATAACATAATGAACATTAATAATTACCAGAAATTCGTTTAAATAATAAAAAAATTGTAAAAAGGATTTGTTCATCATTTTCTTTAGATATTTTTTTCTATTTAAAGAAAGTAAATCATTTAATAATTATTAAAATTAAATATTAACAAGTTGTTAATAACAACGTTGGTAAATTCGTCATATTTGACAGCATAGAAAAAGGTTATGTTCTGTGGGTTGACAGCTTGTTGTTTTGTGTTTTCGTTTGTGTATTTCTATCGTGTTTAAGTTAATTATGCAGTTTAAATACATTATTTTTTACTAAAAATAACAATACATGGAAATATCGTTTGTAAGTACCTACCTACTTATTTTTTTAATCCCAATACGTCACTGGAAGAAAACATAAAATTCTATCGCCAATTTAACGCTTAGACTGTGACCGTTTGATGACGTCACTGGAAGAAAACATAAAATTCTATCTCCAATTTGACGCTTAGACTGTGACCGTTTGTTGACCGCAAACAAATCATTGTTATTGAATGGCAATGCGCCGTCCATTTGTTTTGGTGGTCTGTGAAATATGACAACATCTTAATTGTTGCCAACTGAAGATGTTTAAAATGCATTCAAATATTCAATTACAGACTTCGATTTAGTCATTTAGTGTTGGTACCAATGCGTAAAATTTTTGTTTTATTGATGACGTGTACGTAGTTTACTTTTAAATTTACTATATGTATTTTTTCTGTATAAAGGTCCTAATTTATAACACAAAAATCATATGGGTGATTCTACAAAAGTTGGGCAACTTTTGACCTCATTTTGTTTTTATAGTTTTCGGAGAAAATTAAACAGTATTTTGTTATGAGAACATAGATAATATAATAAATAAGTATACTGTTCCAGATCACTTTTTCGAACAGTTTCTGAAATTTCTGTGTTTTCTAAATTTGAATGCAAGGGAAGTCACGAGTTTACCAGGGTACTAATTAAATACATAATTTATTGGAAAATATAAAATTTATTGCAACTTTGAGCATATTATACATTAAATATCTTAAAATCAAATAATACCACACATCAGTGGCGGCTGGTGGGTTTTGGGTATACCGATATCTCATTTATTAGATATGGGACCCACACCAAATTTATTTGAGTTTAAAATTAAATAAACAAGTTCTGCGCAAGCAGAATTAAAGTTTGCGAAAAAAAGAAACATCGAACTGACGACACGGTACTGATGAATGGGATACAAATTTGAGATTATAATTCGGAATTAAGTATTTTACTGATATTTTTTATTAGTGGATGCTACTTATCAACAAATCACATATAGCCTTATATAAATTACAATGAAATATATATACGTCAGAAAATAACTACTCACAACAGTACTGAAATTTTGACTGGAACTATACGTGCATTCACCACAACTTCCCCGATTGCATTGTTTTCAAGATGACTTTCTTGCAAAGGGCAGGCTCTGTAGGTAATTTTTTTTTTACCAACACTTGAGTTAAAACGAGGACTTGACGTTTAAACTTCACTATTTCGCAGGAATTTTGAATTTTAACATTCAACACAGAACTGACGGGTAAAGTGAGTACAAAGATTATCAATTTTTTTAAAATTGCCATTTTTCGAATCAATGATAAAATATGAAAAATACATTTAATTTTTATAGTTTCTAGTGAAAATGAAAAATGTAAGATAAAATTGAATATATTTTAAAATAAAATCACTCAAATATTTGATTCAGGAGTTGTGACACGCCAAGGTACTGATGTTTTGAATATTTATTATGTTTTTCTACAAACGTGCTTTTGAAAAAATACATTAAAATTGGGTGGGGTGGATAAGTTAAAAAAACCTGGATCTTTTGTAATATACTAAACTATTTACAAAAAATATTAAAATACCTACTCTATTGACTGATGACATCAAGTTGTCCAACTTTTGTAGAATCACCCATATATTGTACTTTTAATCGATTTTTAATACAAAACACTAATAATAATATAACTTAAACCGGCTGAAGGACCTCGGTCAATGGCCATTTGTAAGAAATTGTATTAACTTTTTTTGCAATAAAGTTCATTTATTATTATTACTATTATAACTTAAAATGGTATATTATGTATCAAGTTTTATAAATGCCATTTCAGTTACGAGTTTTATTAGTCACGAGCGAAGCTTGCGTGCGAGTGTTTAATAAAAACGAGTGTCTAGAGAAGTTTATAAAATGAGTTGCTTACTATACTTTATCTACGACGAACACAAAGAAAAATTTAAAGCCAATTTTATTTGTTAAACATTTGACATCTGTCAAATGTCAACGGATTTAACCTCACTTTTTCCCCCAATTTATAATAAGGCTAACTTCAGGCCGTGACTAAATTGCCCAAAAGCCACAATTGCTAACCTTAGCCCGTGACTAAAACGCCATAAAGTCACAGCTCTTCAATGTAGGAGTAGATAATAGTATATTATGTATCAAGTTTGATAAACGCCATTTTATACACGAATTTAATTTAGGCACGAGCGAGCTTGCACTTTATTTTAGCGATTGTATGACATTTGACAACTGCCAACTAACTTAAAAATAACTTCAGCCCGTGATTAAAAACTGTGGATAACTTCAGCCTGTGACTAAAACGCCATAAAGCCACAACTTGTCAATGTGTATTTAAAAGGTCACTTAGTGTCATGAAAACATGTACGATAATTTGTGTTTTAAAGGTGGGAGTAGAAAAAATAAATGAATGCAATGGTTTTTGGGTGATCCATTTAAGAAAGTCTTAATACTTAATTTATGTGAAAGAAAACACTTCTTCTGTAGCTCAACTGAGTTGGGATTTTGATATTTTTCTGATTTTGAGTTTGCTTTACATGTAATTATTATTTTTTGCAGATGATGAGAATGGATTTTGGGTTCTCTTGGCGCATAAGCAAAATAAACATAAACTACAAATTGTGTCCTACTTATCCTCCATACCTACTAGTACCGTCCTGTATAAGTGACGAAACGTTGGAAAACGTTGCCAAATTTCGCAGTTCCCGAAGAATACCAGCTGTAGTTTGGCGGTAAGTTAATAAACAATTGAGGGTTCGCACATTTTTTGAAAATGCTTTGGACATTAGAAAGAAACAGCAGAAAAGGGGTATATAGAGGATGAAATTCAGTGTTTAATAATGCAATATGTTCAAGTTTAAGTATTTAAGTGGTTGGGCTCAGGTTAAAAATTAATTAAAAATGTAAAACTTTGAAAGTACATTTAGAAGAGTAAAAAAGTAAGAAAGAACCTTGTTTGAAAAAAAGATTATAAAAAATTATGAATTTTTCTCACTTTTTTAAGATTTGTTCTATTATTTTTTTTAAAAGTGGTCGGTGCTCAGTTTAAAAATTAATTTACAATTCTGAATTTTGGGGAGTACCTTCAGGATAGTGAAAAAGTAAGAAAAAACCTCGTTTAAAAAAAATATATAAAAAGTTAATTTACAAATCTGAATTTTTGGGAGTACCTTCAGGATAGTAAAAAAGTAAGAAAAAAACCTTGTTTAAATTTTTTTTTAAATGATGAGTTTTTCCCACTTTTTTGGAATTTGTTCTAATTTTTTTTAAAATGTGGTCGTCTCAGGTTAAAAATTAATTTAAAAATCTTAAACTTTGTACCTACATTTAGAACTGTAAAAAAATAAGAAAAAACAAATTATGACTTTTTCTCACTTTTTTAGGTTTTGTTTTATTATTTTTTTAAAAAGTGGTTGGGGCTTAGGTTAAAAATTAATTTACAAATCTGAATTTTTGGGAGTACCTTCAGAATAGTAAAAAAGTAAGAAAAAACTTTTCTCTACTACTACTTAAGAATAGTAACATTCTAGTGTAATTTTTGATCATAGAAAGGATGTTTTTCTGCAATACTGTGCGAGAATATTCCTACTCTTGGTTAAGAATGGTCACAAGTAACGACATCTCCTGACTGTTTACTAAACGTAAAAAATTTAAAAATATTTAAATATTACTGTATTATTTATTAATTAAAAAATAATAGCAGTTGTATAATTAAGGTTTAGGCACAAAAAATTGGTTATATTTATTGTTTTTCAAATATACAAATCAAAATTATAATAAATTTGATATTAAAATGATAAACCAGTTACCTACTATACCGGCTTTGAAGTTTTGACAGATTCAAAAAGTTTAAAAAAAGACCTTTCCCAAGCAACAAAATAAGTCGAATAGTGTCTATACTAGCACCAAATTGCCCTAAAAGGGTTGAAATTTACAAAAATTTAACCAAACTTTTGTGTTTGAGGTCGACATTTATTTGTGGGCGAAAAATAGGTAAAGAACTGGTTCTTTTTGGCTTGCACATATTCCCTCAAAGCCCTCGGACTTCAAATTTTTGTTTCCTGGTCCAATTATGGATACGTTGCCCACTACTAGTTACTAACATTTTCCCTGCCTTTATAGTAAAAATAATTGGTCCCAGTTACCTAATGTACCCCTCTTCATCTACCTATATGTATTTATATCCTTAATGGTAAATCACAGGGGATAACCGTTAGTCAGACTGTTCTATTAATTTACCAATTTTCAACCAACTATTCGTACAAAATTCGTAAGGACAAATTTAGTAATTCTAACCCTAATTGCCTGAAGTTTTGGTTAAGGCATGTTTTGGTCAGGAGTCGGGCCAAGTTTTACCTATTTATATTTAAGTGATGTACCTTAAGGTCTAACTTACTACAATATTGGTCTTGTAAGTCGATGCGGTTATATAGAGGTCGAATTTACCACCTCATTTAGACTAACAGGTCCTTTGGACTTATTTAGAATTTAAAGTTAGTTCTGTTTTTGTTGTGAGCGCTGGAACTAGCAAGATGTCGCAAAAGTGTTTTAAGCCGTACAGGCTGACCACTAGCTATTATCGCAAGTTGAAAAAATGTTTAATATTACGAAAAGGAAATGTTAATAATGCTGTAAACTTATCCAGTGTTTCAACCGGTCCACTTACTATCAAGAAATCAGTTTATACGGAAAATATTTTTTGTGAAAACACATCGGAAAACACTTTTAACGAAGGGCAAATTGATTTAATCCCTTGCGAAGATAATTTTAGCAAAAGGGAAGAAGAACTATTAGGCAAAAAGCTTTCTCTTATAGAAGAATTAACTAATTTTAACACACCATCTTCTTCCCACTTATGTGGAATAAAACTGTATTCCACAGTACACTTGTTCATTCTTTTATTTATTATAGCAACTATTTTTAAATAGTCTCCCATTGTTATAACTATACACACGAGCAACTAGGCGTGCTACAGCTGTTTTATTATACGCATGCGCAATTATGATAATGGCCTACAAAGTCGAAATCTGGGCACTAATTTACTTTATGGTTAAAAATAGGGCATTACTGTGCAATTGCTAATAGACCTCACAATATTTATTCCCTTGTTAAGACATATCGACTACATAGGCAGTAATTTAGGTTATTTTAACTGAACATTAGGGAAATTTATTTTACAGGTCCAAATTATAGGGAAATTATGTTTTTAAGTTCAATACGTCGAAATCGCCATCTTTTCTGATAACCAAAACAGTTTACACCAAAGTATTAAAGGAAAAAATAATTTTATCTAACCACTGTTTGAGATTTTTTTTTATAAAATTGGGCTCTATACAACTTGAAAAAACTAACGAACTGAAAAACCACCTTTTCAGCGCTTCATAAAATAAAATAAGGAAAATTCCAAATTGACAAAAATTTAAAAAAAATGTTTTTCTTAAGTATTTTCAAGGGCGCTTCTGTTATTTAGCGCTACAGTAAGGATATTTGACAATAAAATTCAACTCGCCCAGTAATTTAGCCCTTAGGTAACTCAAAATACCCATTTTAAAAATGGACTTTAAAGATATATTTATGGTCCTAATAGTGTTTGTTAACTTGTACCTATATTTTTAGCATTATTTTGACAGAGATAAAATAGCGGAGAGTGGGATCGAACTAAAAGGACTTACAGGTTGATAATTGGTTATAGATTACCACTATTTTACGTCACAGCAACTTAAAATTGGGCAGCTTTGCAATAACAGTCTTGGTCACAATGCCTTCTTCTACTTCCAAAATACCTTAAATTTACTAACTTTTTATTCCCCACTTACGAAAATATTACGTAACTGTAACGTAAATTTGCCTTTAACAGGGATGGTATTAAATGGTCGATTGCCTTACAGGCGGTCGAAAATAGGTTATTTCGACCAAAATTGTTGCTTGGGTTAAATGTAGAAAAAGAATAGATGTTGACATAGATAAATAAATAAATAAATAAAATAAAATACTTTATTTTCATCCCAAGAAACATACAGTTTATAGAGGGACACCTCTAATCATACAATTACTTGTAAAATTAGTTTTGCATTTGTTATAATGTTATTTTTTTTATTAGTTAGTGTAAATAACTATTTTTAATTATAATAAAGATTTAGGCATACCATTTGTTTAAATTTATTATAATTTACATTATAAAATTGTGATGGCACAAAATGGTTTGACAATACAAAAAACTTAAATGTCAAAAACTGCTTGGTTTCTTTTCTCTGTTTAAAATTATATAAGCGTTACTATTCTTACGTAGTCGTAGAGAAAATAATGTCTGAAACACGTTTGGAATAGCATATTCCACTCTCGTAAAACCGTCACACTCGCCTTCGGCTCGTGTGTCAAATTTTTCCTCGAGCGGAATATGCTGTATTCCAAACTTGTTACAGAATGTACTATTTTGGAACTTGTTCTAATTTTTTTATTAATAGTGGTCAGGGCTCAGGTTAAAAATTAATTGTGAGTTTTTCCCACGTTAGGATTTGTTCTAATGGTTTTATTAAAAGT